CCGGCTCCCAGGTCCTCAGTTCGACTCGGCCAAGTGTGTGTGCTGGGTCACAGCTTCGACTCCTGCTGGACTCAGGGAGGGCTCTGCTCCAGGCTCACATCTCTGGGCTTCCTGAGCCCCCAGTCACCTCCCACACTCAGTGAGGGCACACATGTGTACCTGGTACACACTCCAGAGCTCCCCCTCTGTCATGGGAGCTCCTGCTCTGTCCAGAGTGCGCCATGGCTTAGGAGCCAGTAGGCCTGGGCTCCCCATGCCCGGCAAGGGTGGTAGGCAGGTCATGGACCCTCTCTTGCTCTGAGAGAGGACAATGACCCTCACTACTACCACCGCCACCGCCTCTCTGGTGGAAGCCGTTGAGAGAACCACGTCACTTAACGTATGGGGAAGCACTTGATAAACTATAAAGTAAATGCTAGGGACAGTGTCCGCCTATAGACAAGCTCAGGTGAGCAGGTGCAGGAGTGAAGGAGAGCACGTATGTGCACTCTCATACTCATGACTGCATGGTGTTTCCCTTTGCACCTCAGATATTCAATACCACCATTTCTTGGTTTGGGATTATCTATAGGTTTTCACGATCTCCGTCCCCATGCAGGCAGTGAACCTGCACTATCAATGTGTTGCAGCCCAAATGCAGAGCCAGAGATCTGAGCTTCCCAAAGAGGTGGGGGGAATAAAAGCCCTGTCCTATGATGTAACATCTGTAGGAGACACAGATACAGACACCTACGCTCTGCCAAAGGATTTAAGGGCTCAAATGAATATGAAATACAAAAAAAGAAGCAGCTAGAACAATGTGCCTTGAAAGGAATCAATCCAGGAAGCTTCCTGGGAGAGGAGGTAAATCTGAACTGGGTTTGGTAGAAGTCTGGGCATGCAGGCAGCAGGAAAAAGGGCTGTGGGGTATGACAGAAACAGATGTGCTTTAAGTCTTCTGCTATCAAATAATGGTAGAGTGATTTAGGTCTTACAAGGATTTTCCACCCACATTTTCACATTTGAAGTTCATTACAGTCGTCTGAACTAGGCAAGTCAGTTTTTATTATACAGATAGGAAACTGAGTCTCAGACAAGCAATATCCCCGAGTCTGCAAGCTAGCAGGTAGTGGCTCTGTAGAAGGGCTCAGAACTCTGACTGCCCTAGCCTGGGGCACTCTGCACAGGTCTCCCCATGATCACCCTGATCACCCTGATTGCCCGCATGTCTGCCTGTATCTGTGAGCCCCAAGGGGACACGTGCCATGTCTGGGTAATGAACTCAAACTCCGGGCAGTGTTTGGGATCTTAGTTAGCAGAGGGTAGTGGTGGCTTTAGAGTTGGACACAACTGAGCTCACACCCCAGCTCTGCCATTTTCCTTGGCTTTGGCTTGTCCAGTCCTCTCTGAGCCTTGGTTTCCCCACAGACAGGATAGATTATTGTGAGCGTCAGGAGAGAGAATGACCATGAAGCACCTAGCACGATATTTGGCACATAGTATTTGCTCAATTAATAGAGCAAAACTCTATGCTTAATAACTTGGTAACTCCTAGGCTTAATATTATGGTTATTATTCATTATTATAAGGCAAGACTTTTCTGATGGCCACTTCTCACCAATCTGTGGCTTCCAGGGTACATAGGTTTCTCAAAACCCACACAGACCTCCCCTTACTATTTTAGCAGCTGGTTCCCACCAACACAAGTGATACACTTTCCCTTCCATTCACCTGGGCCCAGTGTCCAGTCCAGACTGCACATCTTACAGGCCCTGGGGACACTCCACCAATTGACATCGGACCCGACCCCCCAGCAACCTGTTGAAATCCATTTCGGTCACCAGAGCTCTCATTTCTGTTAAAACTCCATTTGCCAAGAAAGCGGAAAGGTAATTATGAATCCTAGTCTTAAATCACTCTGCCGCTGAATTATTAAAGGGAAGAATTAAAAATAATCAGGCTTTTTCATTACACTTCATAGCAGGGAAATTAAAGGTTTAAGAATGTATTTTTTCCTCAAATTTAAGTATTCATTTTGGAGATTTATAAGGGAGTTGAAATGATTCCCCGCGTGCCCGGCTCTCCTCTTTATAAGAGGGGGAAAGAGAAAAAACCTTGTAAAAATTAAAAGAGAGATAGAGCAAAAAAAGGATTTAACATAAAGAAGTACAACTGAGTGTTTTGCATGTTAATACATTTTTTTCTGCACAATTACACTGCTGAGTGATATGGCAGGGAGAGATCGGGCTGCTGCTGATTTCAGATGCTGGTGTGAAATGGCAAAGGGGTCTGAAAGTCATGCAGGGGCATCGGGGCTGGCCCCAGATCTCAAAGCACTAGGAAGCAAGCACTGCTCTGGCCACCATGCTCCTCTCTTACAGGTTGAGGAGCCTGGCTCCTTCATGAGCAGAAAACCCAAGGCACCGAGATAGGAGGAACAGCAGCCTGGAATGTTAGTCATCAAAATCTGGAGGCAAGGGGCAGATAGAGATGGTGGAGTGAGTCCATCAGCACTGCCCAGAGGTAGAGCAGGGACAGGGAGGCACTGGGGGGCAAATCCCAAGACCCCAAGCAGATGAAGAAGAACAGTCCCATCGGGTCTCTGGCTTCCCGGGTCCCAGCCCAGCAGGGGAATGCAAACTTGGCACTCTGGCAGGTGGAACACCTCCTCCACCTGGCCCAGCTGCAGAGGGAGGACAGTCCAGCAGGAGCAGCCCAGGTGGCACCCACCCAGTAAGGCTTCCAGAGGGAAGGAGCAGCCCAGAGTTAGTGCCTCCAGCAGAAGAGAGGCTGCAGAGCCCAAGCACCTAGGCACTGCCTGTGTCACAGCTGCTGGGGACACTGCACTCCCCTCTGTCTGGAGACAGTATGAGGACAACACAAAATTGAGGGTGCAATCAACACACATGCATCACTGGCAATAGCTGGGTGGTCTTAAGTCAGAACCAGAGGAGGGAGCTGAGAGAAGGCTGGGCCCATCCAAATGTGCACCAACAGCTAGCCTGCCTCTCCATGGGGATGCCGAGCAGAAACACCTCTGTCCTTTGTCTCTTCCACTCACCCCGCAAGGGATGGACCAGGGATGGGGAGAGGAGAGGAGAGCCCCCTCCCCCAAGGAACTGAGACCCAGAGCACTCAGCCGCCTGGCCCCCTCCCCGTGATAATGAATTACAGGGAAACGCTGCTGAGAGGTGTCAGAACAATTTCTATTAAACATAATTTCCTAATGAAAAGGTTATGAGGGAGCCCAGTGGAGCTAATCAGGATTGAATGCTCACTCCAGTTGCTCTGAGGGAGGGGACTTGAGGCCTGCCCCTTGGTTCCACCTGGTGTGGGCTGGAGAAAAGTTCCCCTGGGTGGGGTGTGGCCCCATACAGATTTTGCATGGACAAGTTCAAGGTCTGGCACATGCCATTATTGGGAGCTCACAGGTGCCAGGCACTGTGCTAGGTGCCCTGCAAAATCTACATGATTATCCCCGTTCTCAGGATGCAGAAGGGCCATATGACTTGGCCAAGGTCCAACCCTTAAAAACTGGGCAGGATTAGAGCCTGGATCTGTCTGACTGAAAGCCAGGCGCATTGCCTCCTCCCTTCCCATCTCCCAGGGTCCTGTCCACTCTGTGGATACAAATGTCATTTGAAGGGCAAACGCAACCCTAGACATGGGGCAGGGCTGGGGCAGAGCAGAACGCAGCTGTAGCTGTGTAACTTCTGCCCAAGGAGCCTCCTGCACAGACCTCACCCTCCTGCTGGTCTCGAGCTGAAAATATGATGTGTGTGAGCAAGAAAGCAGGGGTATGGGTTCCAAAGGAGCTGGGACCCCTTGGAGGCTGGCATGGGTCCCTGCTGAGCTCAGAAGGGGCATGTCTGTCACTGCAGCCAACTCGGGGTGCTGTGAGCCCTTTGAGGCTGTGAACAGGAGGCACTGAGCCTGTGCACACACACCCCACTCTGGCCCCAGAAAGGACCCCAGGCCAACTTTGTCTCTGAGCAGAAACCCTTCCTCCTTCACTCCCCATCATTGTGGGTCTCAGATGCTAAATTCACTCATCAGGGCTGTGCTGAGGGTGAGCCCAAGGACCTAAAACTAAGAGGAAGGAGGGCTTTTTTAGAAAGTTCAGAGATTCCACCCAAATCCTCCATCATATGCCTTTTAGAAATGGCTTTGGCCTCACTGGAAGGAGATTGGGGTGGGGGGGTGGAGCACGAAGGAGCAAGTGTGTTATCGATGTGAGACTGAATAGAAATGGGTAATTACTGTTGTCTTGCAACTTAGAAGCTCCTGATGCACCAGAGCTCAGCTTTACACTTCTGCAAATATTGAGATATTTCTTGGAGAAGGAAGGATGTCTCAGAGATTCCCTTAGGATCAGAGGCAGGTCTTTGGAAGCAGCATGAGGAAATCTCCAGGCCTGCAGGAATCTCCCCACCACCTCTTAGGCTGGGGAGAAGGAGATGAAGTGACAGGAGACCCTGTCAAGGCTACTCCTCATCTCCCATCCACACCTAGCCCTCCTTCCCTTCCCCCTCCTCACCTTGCCTGGCCCATCCCTCCAGCCCCCGCACCCCGCCCTGCCAAGGAGCCCTGGCAGGGTGCATCTCTCCCCATCCCCTATCACAATGGAGCTGTCACTGGCTGCCATGCTCCTGCCTTCCTTAGGACCTTCAAAGCCAGGAACAGCATTAAATATGCAGCCACCTCCCCAGCTCCTGCCCTCCTTGGCTCCCTTCCTCTCATTCCTCCATGCACATTAAACTTGAACATTGCTGCCCAGCTTGAGGATATCGCTGAGATGGGGCTTTATTTCCAGGAGGTCTAAAGTGTTTATCCCATCTCCCCTCTCCCCAATGAGATCAGCTTTCCTCCTCTACCCCCTTAGACTGGAAGGGCAAGTGAGGTTTTTGCTGAGAACAACAGTGGTTCTCAGAGTGTGATCCCGAAAGAGCAACAACATCAGCATCACCTAAGAACTTGTTAGAAATGCAAACTCTCAGCCCCCATCCCTTATTTATTAAGTCAGAAGCTGGTGTTGGGGCCAGTAATTCAGGTTTTAACAAGCCTGCCAGGCAATTCTGATACATGCTTATGTTTGAGAACCAGTGGCCTAAAGATGGGTTCTATCAATGGCGAATCAATATGATGAAGTTCCTCTGGGTCCCCAAGGCTGTGCTAAGGCCAGCAGAGGAGAAAGCTACCACCTCCCCTGCTTGGAACTGGGTGGCTGTGGCTGACATCGGGGAGGAGTCGTCAGTACTTGGTGCAGACTCTGAGAAGGGTGGAGGCCACAGAGGAAGAGAGATGCAGGCCACTGGGAAAGAAGAGGAAGGAAATTAAATGTAAGTAATTGAGGTCAAAATCTGGGCAGGAAATGGGGACAATAACTCCAGGGGCCACATGTATGTAGTGTGTCTGTCTGTCATATTCTCTGTCTCAGTGGGAGATGAACAGAGCAGAGTAAGCACCCCACAGAGAGGTGCACTGGCCAAGAGCACAGCGCAGGAAGCAGAAGCGGGGCTGGGTGCCACTCCCCCTCCCATTCCAGGCCCAGGAAGCTGTTGGAGGACCTGAGCCAGCAGTTGGCAGGATCTCAAGGAGCTGAGGGTGGCAAGGAGCGACCTCAGGGGGCCCACTGAGGGCATCTGGTACAATTCCTGCTGCCCCTACATAATCACTCAAGCGACCCTTTTGGTTTCAGTAGCATCTCAGCTTGGACATATTATATGTTCACCCCAACCACAGGTGACCCAGAGAGACAGAGAAGGCTTGGGAGGCATTTGTCAGGAAAGAGGAAGCAGTCTGAGTGCTTGGGGAGGAGAGTCCTTATGGGTATCTTGGGCGGGGTCCTCTGGCCTTGAGCAACGAAGTCTGCTACCATCCTGGGTTGGTTGGATGATTCAGTGAGATAATGCTCCAAAGGATGGAGAAGGCGTGAGTGGGGCTGGAGCCAGAGCCCAGGTACAGCCGGGACGAGGAAGGGGGCATGGAGGAGGGAGTGGAGGAGGACAGAGTCAGTCAAAGAGACCCGTGGGGCTTACCGTGGTCCCCCCAGAAATGCAGCACATCTTCTTCTGGCTGCCATTTCCTCATCCCTCTCTGTTGAATAAAAGAATGAACCCCGCAAGGAATCAGCCCCAGGAGGGAAGGACAGATGTTCTCCTTTTCAAATTCTCTGCTCCCTATTCCCTTTCCCCTGTGACTGGTCTGGGACATAGGAAAAGTCCCACCCAGGCCACAGTGGCCTTCTCCATCTTGTCCTCCATCTCAGCCACACTCTCTTCTCTCTGCCCACCCCTCCTGACACTGTCCCTCAGCTGAAACTGGTCTTCTGTAAGAAAGTCTCTCCTGCTTAACCCTCCCCTTCTCTCCGCACCCTCCCCACAACCAGCATCCTTCGGTTCCTGGAGGCAGGAATCAGCAACACAAGGCAAGTGGAGAGCAATGGGCAGAGTCAAACTATTCCCTGGCCCCCTCTGCCCTTTGCCTTTGGAAAATGATGGTGACATCTCCTCCAAGGACTCCCCCTCTTGTGAGAATGCTTGGCCATGCTGACATTAACATGAATTTGTCAATGCCTGGGCTCCTCTGTCTGATGATGAGGCTGAGAGGAGCTCACAGCCAAGGACATGGAAGCAGGGACAGGATAGGACACCCGTCTCCATTCCCAATGCCTGCCACAGATGCTCAACCATGATCATAATGAGGAGGGAGAGAAGCAGAAGTAGGGAGGGGCCAGTTCTTTACCCAGCCCAAGTCTTTGGAACCCAGGTTCAGTCCGAGATTAGGGTGTAGCTCCAATTCAGACAATTCCTAGGGCTGAGGCTGGAAATAGTGATGGTGATTAAGGAAGGCTTTGAGATCAAGTGTGAGTGCTGGTTAAGGTGCACACAGAAACAGGCAGATCAGAGACTACATTGTTGTTAGCACGAAGCCCGGAGCTAAAACTCATCCTCAGTTTGAGTTTGTCCAAATGTACTGGGACTTGCAGCAGGGATCAGTGCTGTGGGCTGGGCCTGCCAGGTAAGGAGACTGACAGACCAGTGACTGGTGGAGAGGGCAGGAGTGACCAGCAAGGCCGTGCTGGGTGGGATCTGGCCCAGTACCATGGACAGCTCCAAGGAAAGCGCTTTGGTGGGCAAAAGAAGGTGCTGAGATTCCCACCTGCTTTCCTGGTCCCCCACTCCTTCCATGACATCATGGCCACTGATCCCATTCACCCCAGACTCACCCCAAAGAGGACCAAGATGACACCATATCCCCCGGGGAGTCTGAGCCTCAAAGCTTGGGTTCTAGTTGAGAAACCTCTGGTTTGGACTTTTACACGATGATCATTCTCCTAACAACATTCAAATTTCACTCTTGACTCCCAGGTTCACCCTGCTTTATATAGCATCTCTTATTCCTCTGGTTCCACCCTTCCCATGGGAAAATTAGGGGGCTCCCAAGCCTGTGGCTCTCATTACTCTCTTCTCATCTTCCCTTTGTCTCTTGAGTCCTGAAGAGTAGGAGGGGAGTGCACCATCCCAGGGACTCCCTCCTCAATATTCCCAGACAGTTGTCACAAAAGAGGAGCTAGGAGCTGAATTATGGTTAAGGACACTAGATACTAAATACAATCATCCCCATGTCCTTGTGGATCATGAAGACTTCCAAGATCTTCAGCTTCAGCATATCAATCCAGCTCCCCAAGAGCAGGGGGAAGTGGTCATCATCATGCACTGAGCACCTACTATGTGCCAGACTTTGTCAATGCTACCTCATTGAATCATCAAGCCAATCCAGGTTGCTGGGTGAGATTATCCCATTTACAGATGGAGAGTCTGGTCCCCAGAGAGGTTAATAAGCGGTACAGGACATGTACAGATCTGGGATTTGAACCCAGGTTTGTCTGTTGGCCCAAACCTTATACTTTTTTTTGGCATGTCATGAACTCTGGTTGTTAAAGAGCTTCAAAACCAACTTGGCAAGAACTCTTCCAGCCTGGATCTCCACAGGTACACCCATGTCTCCCGGGGACCCTGAAGGCTGGAAAGAGGGGCTTTACCATCCACTCCCTAGGCTCACTGAAGTCTTGACCTGAACAGAAGCAGGGGAATGACGGTCATCCCCATTCCAGGGCCTGGAAGTTCCTGTGGGCTGCCTCCTAGTGGCTCAGAGAGTGGCCAAGCCATCAAGGAGCATGGCTTCCTCTGATCCTTTTCCAAGGTAACTCCAGATGATACATCTGCATGTGCCATGGGTACAGCCTGAAATTACTCCCTTGGGAGAGTGGAAATGGCCCAGAGCCACAGAATCTAGCCCTGGGGATCTAGCCAGTCCTCTCCCCAGAAGTCACCTGGACTGGGGGCAAAGGTGAGCTGGGAGAATAGGAAGATACCTGTCTGGGGAGGCTCTGGGCGAATGGCTAGCAGGCCTGGCTCTCCTCCTGTCCCTCTGTAGTAATTAACAGGCCTTTGTTCCTGTCCCTGATCTGTCTGGCAGAGCCTTAATCATCCTCTTCCCTGCAATGAGCAGCCTTCTCATTAGGGCCTTAAGAACCTCTATTATAAACATGTAAATGGAACTCAACGAGGAGGGAAATATTTGACTGCTCCAATTTCCTTTGTGTTGCTGCCAGCTCTGGGCTGCACACGCCCATGATTTCATTGCTCAGCAGCCTGGCGCCAGCACACTGCCCCCACCACCCAGTAGTCACCAACTGCTCCAACTTCTCCTATCGGAATTTAATTACCTTCGCCAGCAAATGTTTGGAAAACCTATCTCCTTCAATTGATTCTAAAGTCAGATTTTTCATTCCAAGATACTTAATGGCACTTTAGCCATTGATGGGAACCTGGGAGCAGGTGAACCTGGCCACAGGGAACCCTCAAGGTTAGGAAAGGTCATCACAGTTAGCCCCCATCTTTCTGCAGGTCGAGATTTCAGTGAGCCAGGATGGAGGCAAGTCTCTCTTCCTTAAAATCTATGGAGAACCAAGCTCCTGAGCTTCATGTTGATCTGGACTGGAAGTTCTTTCTGATGTCTGTCAATGCTAGGTGGGCTTTTAGTTTCATTCCAGTTTAGTCCTCAATGAAAAAAGAGCTCTACTAGACAGTAACCTGTCTGATGATATGAAAGGAGCTGATTAGCATCCCTCCCCATAGCAAAATATAACAAGATGAACCCTGGCTCCCTGAAGCCCCAGGCAGGGGGTGCGAAGGGCTCCCTCAGCACAGTGAGCCTTCATGGGTGTGACTTCCCATGCCTAGTCCTCCCCAATGCCTGCTCACCTTCCCTTCCCCTTTCCAAGTCTAAATCTCCACTCCACTATGCTTCAAAGCCTGGATAATGTCTCCTCCATGGAGCTACTCCATATCATTGGACCACAGTGACCTCCCACCGCTCATGTCTGAGCACACTGCATGTCTCCTCTTTGGAGTTTAAGGGGTGTCCCCTATGTGGTGGGTCCTTGTTGATCTCTAGCTGGCCGTAGGCATAGTTGCGTATGCTGCCCAACTTAGATAAGTTACTCCCAAGGGTCTCTCCTTCAGGCAGAGGCCACTCTTCCACTGCTGTGTCCCTCACTGCTCTGAGCACAGAGCTGGAACAGGCTGACACTCAAGAAGACTAGGTTGCCGGCATGGCTGCTAGCAGGTGGATGGGCTGGTTGGTTAGTGAACTGCAGACTGTTTGGAGGGTGGCTGGGCTGGCAGAGTGGAAAGCAGTGGGTATGGGCCAGTTACTACCTTAGGCCTCTCTGCTTCGAATCCGCTCTTTAGTGCCGGGTCAGTGATAATGGAGCTGGGCCCTGAAACCATTTCTCCTCTGCCACCTGACTCTGTTCAGCTTTGTTAGGAGAGGGGCTGGAGAGACATTGTGGGAGCAAAGGGCTTCTCTTTCTGGCCCCTCCAGTGAGGCGCAGGCAGCACACAGCTTCCTCCAGCACCCCAGAAGGTAGCCTGCCTGCCCCCAGCAGAGTCCCTCAGCAAACTGCCCACCACCAGTGGGCTTGGGCTGGGCCTTAGCTAACAAGACTTGGATCTCAGCCCCCTGGTGCCCTGGGGGCAGGAGGCAGAGAGGCCTTTCCAGGCTTCTTCCTGCCCCTGGTGTTCTGCCTTGTCCCAGCCTAGAGGTTGCAGTGCTCCTGTATTTTTTCCTATATTTCCTTCTTTGTGTGTGTGTGTGTGTGTGTGTGTGTGTGTGTGTGTGTGTTGCGGAGAATTGAACCAGGACCTTGCTCATGCTTAGCCAAGGAGGCGAGTACTCTACCACTCACCACATCCTCAGCCTTATTCTTATATTCTTTGGAGAAAAGGTAAGTAAACTCCTGTTATAGTAGGTAATTTCCTGTTATAACTAACAGCTCTTTATATTAAACCTTTTCTGTTAATATTAGTGTGTGGTGTCTATCTCGTGATTGGAAAATAGCATAATAGGTTGGTTTGTGAGTTGGTTGATGGGCTAGATTGTAGGATGATACGATGGTGGAAGAGTAAATTGATTAGTGGATTGTTCGGTTAGCAGATTGGCCGGTTGGGTTAGTGGCATGGCAAGGTGTAGGATAATAGATTGGACTGGTTAGTGGAGGGATGGTAAGCTGGTGGACACGGCTGGTGGTTGGGTTACTTGGAGGATGCTCCTGGCCATGGCGTTTGCATCATGTCATAGGAAAGGATGAGTCCCAGGGAGGACCCTACAGTCCATTCCTGCCTACCCTGAGGGGACCACGCTGCTCCCCAACAGGACCCCTTGGTCACACCATGGCTGCCAGGGTGGGAGGGGTGCAGTCAGGCTGTGGAGGAGGTTCTGAGGAACTTAGAGAATTGCTCAGAAGACAAGCAAAAGAACCTCGAAGTGTCAAGGCCAGCCTGCGTCCCCTTATCACCCCACACCAGCTTCCTGTTTCTCCTGTAGGCTCTGGTCAAACCCCAGGTACTCCCTGATTATACCCAGGTGCCCTTCCAGCAAAGAGCTAAAGAAGTCACAGCTTTCTGGGAAGACTCATGCCTCTGTCCCTAGGATCTCTCTAGGGAAACTCCAGCACAGGGGTCTCCACGAAGCCAGGCTTGGACTTTGCCCTGTCCATCTGGGGCACCAGATTTTCTTTCTTTCCCTCTCCCTCAGTCTCCATCTCCTCATGCTTCAGCCTCCTTCTACCTCAACAGCGCCTCTCACTATATCACTTGCTTGTCCTTGAGACTGGGACTGAATCCACCTACAAAGCTTTGGTCCCTTTCCCTCTCTGGCCTCTCCCTCCTCCCACCCCCATCCCAGGCCTTGGGGGTGGCCCGGCCACCCCAGCTCCCAGATGGAGCCACCAGGACATTTTCCAATTGCATCTTTCCAGGATCAGAAAAAGAGATTTCAGAAGGAAATTGCTTTCTCCCCTGCTCAACCTAGATGGGGCTATTTTTTACTCGTCTTTTTTTTTTTTTCTTCCTCTCTCTCCCCCTCGCAATCTTAGTAAAAAATGAGAACATGTCTGAAGCTTCTCCCCTTGCTTGGACCAGGTTTTATCTCTCCTGAGGTCTGCAGAGGTCTGAAGAAATCAGAGAAGCCGTACCCAGGGGAGCTGGGATGGCATCGAGGTCCCATCCTGCAGACTGGCTGTACCCCGGGCCGCCCAGCCCAGAGGCCAGGCCTGGGAGCTGCAGGGAGAGCAGATCAGGGGAGCCTGTGGCTGAAGAGAGCAGGGCCAGTTTGGGGCAAACCTGCGAAGTAGGGGTTCCCTTGTCTCCTCCCAGGAATGTCCCCCGTTCCCCTCCAAGTATCTCCAAGTCTCAGGGCAGAGGCACAGCACACAAGTGTCCCCGTAATGCTGAGAGCAGTGCTCATCTGTGCAGGTTGCTGAGGATCACTCCCTGGAGAGGAAGCAGCCGGATCTTAGTTCCAGCCCTGCTTAGAACCACTTCTCTGCCTCAGGCTTCTCACTGGGAAGAGAGGTGGGGGCCTTGCATTATTATTGCCCAGCTGAAAACTATAGCAGCTAACACTTACTGATGCTGAGCACATGCAAGTGGTCTGCCAAATTCTTTATGGTATTAACCAATCCTTATAACAGGCCTCTTAGGTAGGCCCTATTATTAGATCCAATATGCAGATGGGGAAACCGAGGCACTAAGAAGCTACTTAACTTGTTCAAAGGCCTGGGACCAGGTAGCTGCTCGACTCCTCCTCCTAACCCAGGGGGTGGGGGAACAAGGAGCAAAGGGGCAAAGGGCCAGAGTGAGAAGCCCAGGGTGCACACGCCGAAGTCCCCTCAGCACTTATCATGCCCCATCCTGTCCCCCACCCTGGCAGCCTAGACCATACTGTTTAAGGCCTAGGTGCTGAAGGAGGGAGAGGAGGTTCCAGGCAAGAAGAGAGAAGCCACCTAGGACCCATGGCTGCTTGGCCTTAGCCCAGCCCACGGTCGTCCCGATCTCCTTGACGTGTCCTCTTCTCAGGCGCTCTGTGCCAGCTGCTGCCACCTCCTCTATGCCCACCCATTCCTTCACTGGCGCTAAACTTCAGGTGACCAGGGCCACCCTAGCCACTGTGATGGGAACAGGGAGCAAAGAACAGAAAGGTCTCACTTTACCTGGGAAAGAGACCAGGAAGTCTAAGCTGTCTGGACAAGACTGAGGAGGGAGAACTAATGAGGAGACAGCAGGCTGGTGACAATGGCACATCCTACAAGCAGTGCTGGGGCTGCAGCTGAGCGGGTCACAGCAACTCTCTTCACAGAGGGACCTGTCAGGAAGAGCAGCAGCAAGGCGCAGCCCCTCAAAGGCAAGACACCCAGCACCCTAGGCTTCCTCTCAGGGGACCCCCTCTCCAGAGCCAGCCCCTTGACACACCACACACACACACACCCCCCACACATGCACACATGCACACACATTCATCTATAACAGTAATCTGTGTGCACTTTGCTGCCAAAAGGTTTTGAAATATTTTTAAAGAATACACATAATACCCTAAGATTAAATATCTAAATGGATGATTTCACCCAAGCATTAGAGTGACAGGGCCTCGTAGGCAGCTGTGGGAGTGGGAAAGTGAGTCCACGAATGACAGAAGGAAGCAGGTGGCAGAGATCCAGAGATAGACAGAGACCCAGAGAGACTCCAGGGAGAGACCAAGAGTGCGCCACCCCCAGCGGCTCCCCAAGGTCCTGGGTCCGGTCACCAGACACGCCACCTTCTGTAATGAATGTCCCTTTCCTGTAAAAGCAATCAAGAGATGCAGAGAAGAAAAGCAGGATAACGAGGTGAGATCAGAGGGGAGGTTTTCATACTTAGAAAATTTCACTAAATTAGCTCTAGGCACGGGGGCAGCCAAAGCAGAAAGGAAAACAGGACAAGATTCTCAGGACCCATGAACCAGATACTCAATGTTAGAAAACAAGCGTGTTTGCTGGTTTTGTTCATCACAGTCTCTGCAGCACCTAGGACAGAGCCTGGCAATAGTAGGTGCTCAATAAATATGTCAGATACATGCATGGCTGAACATCAGTTTTTCAACACAGGCTAAGGTTTTTCTGCCACTTAGGCCTGAGAATGAAAATATCCATGATTTGTCCTAAACAGGCCATTGAGGAATGTGGTAGGCAATTCATTTGTTCATTCATTTACTCTACAGTATTTATTGCACACAACTCTAGCAAGCACTGCTACAGACAAATTGGTAAACAAAATATAAGAACTTCTTTCCTCAGGAAACTTTCATTGTATTGGCAGGAGACAAACAGCATACAATAAACACAGGCCACTGATGAGCCTGGATGTTAGAAGGTTGTGTGTACTGTGGAGGGAGATAAAAGATACAGAGGAGGGGTAGGCTCAAGCCTCACACAAAGGTGACCTTTCAACAGACACTTGAAGGAGCGAGGGAGTGAGCCAGGCAGAGGCCCAGGGAGAAGGAAAAGCACAGCGGGGCCGGGGATTTAGCTCAGTGGTTCTGCCCCCTGCCTCACAAACAGAAGGACCCGAGTTCGATCCCCGATACCAAAAAAAGAAAAAGGAAAAGTACAGTGGCCGCAGTGGCCCTGCCCCGGGTCTGGTGGGGCGGCTGGTGCCCCTGAGCTAAGCACAGGCCTGGGCCAAGGGCTGCACCATGCTGCACAGTGGCTGGGCTGTGGGCTTGGGTGGACACTGTAAGAAAAGCGCTTTCCCGGAAGCAGAGGAGGAAGCAGGTGTAACTCGGGCAGGAGCCCCACACACACACCAGGGCCAAAGCAGTTCCCCAGGAGTCGAGTCAGACCAGCTGGCCTCTTCATGCCACGGGTGCAGCAGGGGACTATAGCAAAGTGCCTGGCCCCTTGCAGGCCACCTGGGTGTTGCCGCCTCCATCCCCAGCCACCTCCACTGGGAGGGCCTCCATGCAGGACAGCAACCAGCTCCTTTGCTGCTGCACCCACCCAGGACACACACACTGGCGCACACACATACACACGCATGCACCCACTTTCTCTCTCAAACACATGGACTCTCTGTCACAGACATTCATACTCATGCACACAGGTGCATGCTTGCACACCCACGATGCCAACACTCACACACACCCCGTACAGGTAGATCCTTGGACTAGTACCAAAAAGAGATTGGACTTCCCAGAATTCAGTGTTTTGTGACCTTTATGGCTCATTGACAAGACTGAGACTCTGATAGAAGCCAGAGACCCTTTCCCTAGAAAAGACTCTAGCTTTCTCTCCATCCCAGCCCTGCACATGCACAGTGCACAATGACACTCTACTCCCCATACTCACACACCAGCACATGAATTTCAGGGCTTTGTGCCCTTCCAGGAGGCCCCCCATGGCCCAGGAGCCCCTCCAGATGCGCAGTCCAGCCCTCAGGGTCCTGAGCACAGACAGGAGGCCTCAGGGTCTACAGGCGAGTGTCGGGTGAGGACAAAGTAGCCCTGGTCCTGACCGCTGCTGTCACTTCTTTTCTTCCAGCATTCAGGTTCATAGACAAAAAGTGAGCAAGACTTCTGGCCTAAAGGGGGAAGAGAAATGAGCACCTAGTCCATGCCAGGGCCTGTGCTGGGCACTTTGCAACCCTCCTCTCCATCCTGACAACTCGGCATAATGTGCCAGTGGCAGCCCCAGCCTGCCCCGGTGAGTCCCTGAGCCGCTGCCCCACAGCCCTGCCCACCTCCTGTCCAGCTCACTCACTCAGAAAGACGCCATGCCTGGTCGGGCCGCTCTGCCAGATGGATGGCATAGAGGACAGGTCAGGGCCCGAGGAAGCAGCCCAGAGTCCTATGGCTGCAGGTCGACAGCACACCCAGCCCTCTGGGTCCTAGAGCCAGCGGGAAGCAGGAGAGAGATGGTGCTGGCAGGCTAAGCAAGATGAAATATTGATGCCTGAGTCCTGGTAAAGCGGAGAACACTGCTTGTCCATGAATAAAAGATAAGTCCGAGGAGCAGGCTGGGCAGGAGATTAATTAATCTAAGTGAGAGCATGCCTCACTCCGTGCGGGGGAGGGGGGTGAAGCAGACAGACTGCCCCTGCCCAAGGATCCAACCTAGAAGAACTGGCAACCGTCCTCTGTGCCAGGCGGGCAGCCGGGCAAGGCTGTGAGCAGGGCAGCAGTACCGAGCCCAGGCAGGGAGGGAGAAGCAGCCAGTGCCCCGGGACCACCTGCCCCACCGCCCAGTGCCTGGGAGGGAACCTCCCAACAGGGCAGCTTCCCTGGCAAATGGAGGCCACAGAGGCCAGCCGCTCCAGGGGTGAGCAGCTCGGAGGCAGTGCCTAGGAGCGCCTGGGCTCCCGGGTCCTTTCCTGCAGCCTGAAGCTCTTCAGGGAGCCTGAGAAAGCCAGGATTAGAGGAGATGTTGGGGAAAAGGGTGGAGGCCCCAGACCTAAGATGGGCATCGAGAGCCGGCCACACTGGGTACCATTCCGATGTCGATATGGGGTGGTGGCCTCAGATTCTGAAAAGAGGAGGGGCCAGATGAAGCTTTTGCCGCCTCTGCCCTCCCCCAAACTCACCCCATGGCAACCCAAGATCCTGGAGGCCTTTTGCCTCAGGGAAAACTAGCACAGGCCACAGGTTTCTTGGAAGTGGCAGCGGAGCCTCGCCAGAAGATGGTTCTCATGACCTCTGGGCGTATCTTACCCACCGGCTACAGTGGCTTTCACAGTCTTAGGGCAGTTTCAGGTTTGCTAAAGGTGACATTAGGACGAGGGTGATGTCTCCCATCACACTCCCCACCCCTGGGGTCCTGGAGGAGGACATCGGCTCCAGATTCCAAAGTGCCCTGACCCGCTCGGGGAGGAACAGCCATCTGATGGTACTAGCACCCACCTCATCATCCTCAGTGGGACCAGGGTGTCCTTGGCTCATGCTCTGCCCTGACTCCTTGGACACAGAACCACCTTTGGAAACATTCCCTCCAAGTGGCCTCAGCTGATTCTAGAGACCACCCAGGGCAGGCAGCGGAGCACCTCCAGCTGGTCTCTCTTTTCCACCCTGAGCCATGGATTCATAAGGAGCAGCTTTTGGAATCCAGCCCAGGACTAGACCATGGGTACTGATGGGGTGGGCTGGAGGTGTGGGGACGCAGCTGGCATCCTTACAGGCTGGCTCCTCCATAGACACGGCCACACCCCTCCTCCCCAAAGCCTGCCATGGCCGCCCAGGGCCCCACACACCCTTCTGGTCAAGCACAGCATTTCCTGTCTGTCCTGACCACTGGGACATGCATCACAAATCCTGCTGACATCTCTTATACATTGTCTCATATTTATTATTTAACTTTGTTTCATGTAGGTTTAGTCCTGTCTCTTTTATCAATGCATAGCTTCTTTAATGCAGGAGCAAAGTCCCTGGTCCCCACCGCCCCCAAACCCATGCATGGCACTGGATATGTGGGGCACACATGGCACGGATGTTTGAGTCAGCAAATGAGCAAGGGACAGCTCTGGCCATCTCTGCTCCTGGCCAGTCCTCGCACAGCCACCTCCACTGTGGGAACCTGCACTTCCTCAGGCACCTGCTGGCCCAGCACCAGGTGGGAGGAGCACCTCACTGGCTCACAATTTTGGGGCAGTCTCTCCCACCGGCCAGGTGACAAACTGACAGACTCAGGTCTTGGCGAAGTCACCCCTCTGGCTGGTGGCAGAGCCAGGAATGGGCCTTGGTCTGGACTCTGAGTCTTTGCCTGTTCCTCCACACACTGAGCACAGGAAGCCCAGGGAAGCAGAGGGAGGGTCCTCAGGGTTCCCCACCACCTGAGAGGGGGTGAAGGACCCCACCCCGTGCACCCCAGATAGAAGACTCCAGGCTGCTCTTGGATGGCAGGCAGGACAGGACCCATAGCTGAGAGCAGAGGCAGCTATCCCGGGCTCCATGAACAATTCCAAAGGCTGGCTGCCTGCCTGGTCCAGACTCCACGGTCACCTGGACTCCTCACCAGCCCCAAAGTAATCGCTGGTTCTCTGGAGTCCTACCAGGAGATGAAAAGCGGGCAGCAAGCAGGCTGACCTGGGAGGCATGTACACTGTTACATCCACATCCTAGCAGCTCACCTCTGAAGCAGGGTGGATTTCTGAGAACAGTGGCCAGGAGCCAAGAGCATGCTATTTCTGTGGCCACAGTGCCATCTGCTGGTCGCCTGTACCATAGCCATGGGGGCTCCACTGCAAAGCAGGAATCAGATGTAAGGCTGTGTGGCATTGATTAGGTTCTGTTGTTACTGTTTGGGTTTTGTGTGGCTCTGGTTTGGGGTATTGGTTTGGTTTGGCTTGGCTTAGGTTTTGTTGTTGTTCGTTTGTTTTGTTTTGCTGTAGTACTGGAGACTGCATCCAGGGAGCACTGAGCTATATCCCTGGCCCTTTATTTTATTTTGAGACAGGATCTCCCTAAATTGCCCCCAACTGACCTCAAACTTGTGATCCTCCTGCCTCAGCCTCCCAGTAGCTGGGATTACAGCTATGCATCACCATGCCAGTTTCCTTGTATCTTTTTGCAGTGTTGGGCATTGAACTCAGACCTTACACATGCTAAGCAAGCACTCTGCCACTGAGCTACATCCCTAGCCCATGTTGTTTGTGTTTAGAGTCCAGCAATCAAACCTAGGGCCTTGCTGATGTGAGGCAAGCTGTCTGACACTGAGCTACATCCAATTCATGCAGCAAACATTTATTCCATACCTACTGTGTAGCAGGCAGTATTTGGGGGGCTGGGGACCCAACAGTGACAAAACAGACAGAAAGCCCCACCCTGCCCTTATGGAGCTTGCCCTTGGGAAACAGGCAACAGACGAGGCCAGTGAGTGCAGTACACAGTCTATAGGCACCAAGGAGACAAATGAAGCAGGAAGTGGGGAGCAGGGCCCCGGATGTTGTGACTTTACACAGAGGCCAGACACAGCCTTACCTAGGCGGTGCCATCTGAGAAGTCTGGAAGGCGGTGAGGAGAGAGTCTTGCAGATTTGAATTAAGTCACCCCAGGTGGTGGGAACAGCAAGTTCAGATGCCTGAGTACTGCCTGGTAGGTCTGGGGGCCAGGCAGGGCCAGTGAGGACCACGTGGAGGGTGGCAAGGGGCAGGGGTGAGGCCCCGCTCTACAGGGTGACCTCAAGGCTCATCTCAAGGACTTTGCCTCTGTGAAAAGGGCCTTCACTGCCAGGGTCCAAACAGAGGGCAGCACCACTGGCTTGCATCTTAAAAGGCTCTGTGTGGAGAATGCACTGTGGGGTCAAGGGCAGAAGCAGGGGTACCAGTTAGGAGGCACAGCAGCCTCCAAGCAAGACACGAAGGTGGCTCGGCCCTCAGGTGAGAAGGGACCTGGCTTTCTGGGTGTGAGAGTAGGACTGGAGTCAAGGAGCTCAAAGAGGCCTTGGCTGCAGAAGTGTGCACTGCTGTCTGCTGACACTCCAAATGGTGGACTCCATGGGAGAAATTGGGGCTTCTGCTTAGGATTTGACCGCTCAGAGTTGCCCCTCAGACACTGAGGGGAATCATCAAGGACAGAAGAGTCTGCAGCTCAGGGCAGAAGCCTGGCCTAGAGCCGCACTCCAAGGGTCATCAGCACTGGGTGACATCAGTCACAGATGCATTGGAGACCCCCAAGACCCTGAGGGAGCAAGGACAGCCCCGGAGCCCTCTAACCTCTCAAAGTCAAGAAGATGCCAAGGAACAGCAAAGGAGAGTCACCAGGAGGCCCCTCAAAGGAGAGGAATGGAGGAGAGGATCTCCCAGAGCCCAGATCAGGAAAGAGAAGGGAGCAATAACCGCTGCTCCATGAAAAGCCTTCTGGTGTCAGCAGCATGGAGGTCAGCTGTGATCTTGAAAAATTTTGGTGCCAGTGTGGAACAGAAGCCTGACAAAAGTGAGTTCAAGTGAGATGAAAGAAGAGAAATTGGGAAGGTGGGAAAACTCTTTTGTGGAGTTTTACTATCAAAGGGAGACGGGGAGGTAGCCGGAGGGGCAGCTGGGTTAAGAGGAGTCTCTTTTCTTTGCATTTTTTAAGGAGGGGAAAATAAGAGCCTGTTTGCTTCCCAATGAGTGGCTGAGGGAAAAAGAGGAAAACATGTTGAAGTAGATGTGAGAGAAAAATGAGAGCTCTAAGCTCAAGCAGGTGAGGAGATGCTTCTGTGTTTATGAGATGCTGCTGGCCACTGGACAGGCTGCAATTAGAAAGGCAGATAATAACAAGTGCTGGTGAGGATGAGGGAAGACTAGAAAACTTGTGTCCTGCTGATGGGAATGTCAAATAGGTCAGTCACTCAGAGAACAGTGTGGTAGTTCCTCAAAGAATTAAACATGCAGAACCATAGGATCTACCTAGTAATCTCACTCCTCAGATTAGACCAAGAGAAATAAAAACAGACATCCACACAAAAACTGAAGCTGAGGAAAAACCTGAATAAACCACCTGCTTAGTCCCTGAGTCATTTCCCCTCCCCTTAGTCCCCTGCTTTTCTAGATTTAACCCATTTCACTTGTTCTTAGTTACTTCCCTTCATTTGACTCTAGACAACAGCAGATGTGTAGGTCAGCCAATTACCTTGTCCCATACCTTGGGACACCCTCAAGTTCCAAATCAGGGAGGGATTTGAGACTTTGCCTCCATTTCCTCCTGCGTGGCTGCCTCATAATAAAATTCTTTCTTTTCATAGTTTCAGTCATTTGCCTGTGCAGCAGGCAAAACAGGCCTGGTTTGGTAACAAAACTTGTACATGAATACTCATTATGGCATTATTTGTAATACCTCCAATGTGGAAACAATCCAAATATCCATCTATCAATGGATTTAAAAGTGTTGTATATCCATACAATGGAATATTATTCAGCCATCAAAAGGATGTAAATACTGATTCATGCTACAACAGGGATATGTCTTGAGAACAATGTTCCCAGTGAAAAAAGTT